GCCTATTCAGGGTAAAATCCACAAAACCCTGTATAGAGGGGCTGCTCCTAGCTTCCCCCACAGCCAGGGCCTTAGGGAGGACATTCTGAGAGGCTTTGGTACCATAATGCCCAGACATGCCATAAGAAAGGATCACAGATCAGGGACAGGCCTCTGTGACTGTGATTCATTCACGGTGGGCTGACCAAACCTGTGCCAGGATCTCTGTGAGTTTGATTCTGTTTTTCTTGACTTTTCCTTTGCTTTTGCCTAATTGGAATTGCAGGACTTGTTGATTCCAGGCCAACATTTTCATGCCAAAGAGTATGATGCCGGTGATGGGATTCCCCCTCCCACTTCTCATACATTGGCTTTGCTTGACTTGCCCCAGCCTTCCTGGGACCTTCCTGCTACAGTACTGGCGGTGGTAGTGAGGTGTGCCCAGGGACATTCCCGAGACTGGGCCATGCCTTTGCTCTGCTGGGCAGCATGATGGGAAGGGACTCTGTTGTGCAGTGGCCTGCTGTCTGCTCTGGGTTTTGGCAGGTAGAAGGAAGCCTGTGAGCGACATGAAGGGCTTTCCAGTGGACTGCGACCCTCCCGGGCTGCCAGGCCTCTCTTCATTCCTCCTCCGTCGCTCATTTCTCTTTTTCCTCTCAACTTCATTCCCTGGCGGGCCAGCTGGGAATCAGCGGAGGGAAAAAGTAATTGAAGTGCTTAAGAGGAATTGTTTGGGGAAGGAGGAGGCAGGGTCAAAAGGAGAACAATTAAGAAGTGATGTGATACAACTGTGTGGAGAAGAATTTAGTATGAATATAATGATCAATTTCCTAATAATTAGGTCTCTTAGACGGCAGAATAGTTCCCCAAGAGGCAATGGTGGGAACCCCATTGCTTGGTCATTTCTAATTAGACTGGAGAAGCACTCACAGAAAATACTGCAGAGAAAATCCCGCACACTGTGGGGATGGGCATATGATCCAGGGGGCCTCTGCTATCTCTCATTTCTATGATTCATTGATGAGCACATAATTCACTGATTAGTTAGGCAGCCAAACTTTAAGGGGTTTATTGGTTTCTCACCTCACCTCTGCCCTTTTAAATGGACCAGATCTATTATCTTCAAAGGGAAAAGTCGGGGCAGGTGGTGACCTAGGTCAGGGAAGATTCTGCCGCGTTTCTACAAAATCAGTTCAAACAGAAAAACCTGATTCCACTATTCATCTGCCCCGCAGTGGGTGTGGACTGTCCCAGGCTTTCCCTCGGCCATGTTTCCCTCCTCTGGTGAGTCTGCAAGGTACTGATGGGGTTTATTTAGAGGAAGACTTCTTTTTTTAAAAATTTACTTTAAGTTTTGGGATACATGTGCAGAATAGGTGTTACACAGGTATACATGTGTCATGGTGGCTTGCTGCACCTATCAACCCGTCATCTAGGTTTAAGCCCCGCGTGCATTAGGTATTTTCCTAATGCTCTTCCTCTCCTTGTCCCCCACCCCCACCCCCTGACAGGCCCTGGTGTGTGATGTTTTCCCCCATCCCCCCGTGTCCATGTGTTCTTATTGTTTAACTCCCACTTATAAGTGAGAAAACGCGGTGTTTGGTTTTCTGTTCCTGTGTTAGTTTGCTGAGGATGATGGCTTCCAGCTTCATCCATGTCCCTGCAAAAGACATAAACTCATTCTTTTTTATGGCTGCATAGAGGATAAATATTCTTAACCATTTTGCACTCGGTAATCCAGCACCTTAACAAAAGCCCATTCAGCATGCTGGTTAAGCATGAGGGCTCGGGGGCCAGGCTGGGCTGGTCCTGGCTCGACACTTTCCTCTGTGAGTTTGAGCCAGTTCTTAAGCTTTCTATGGCTTGCTTTCCTCGTCTGTAAAATGGTGCCCATAAAAATAGTGACCTCATTTGGTTGTTGTGAGGACTAAACAAGTTAATACTTAGAAAGCGTTTTGGACTGTGCTTGTCAAGTACCCTGGACAAACACTCTCGACAGGTGGTGGCCGTTATCGTGACTAAATTATAGCCGCTTCTGCGGAGTGTGTCCTCCTTGAGAAGTCTTGCACTTGTTAGTATTCTTTCTGCCATACACTGATAGGCATGGACTAACTGTTCTTCTGGGTGTAGCTTTACATTGGAGCATTTACCTCAGCAAGCATTTATTGAGTCTCTACTGTGTGTGAGGGAAACGGCAGTCCCTGCCCTGGAAGGGGCAGTGATGTTGTGTGTCTGTGTGCGTGATGCATCTGTGTACCTATGCATGCGCTTGTGTGCGTGTACGTGTGTGTGCATGTGCTTGCTGGTTGTAGAAGAGAGCAAGAGCACAAATGACTATCCTAAAAAGTCTCTTGAGTGCCGTGAGAGACCCTCTCCTATGGGAACACCAAGCACTCAGGCCTCTCATCAGTGGCCTGGGGAAAAAGCGTCAGCAAGAGGTGACAATTGGAGCAGGACTTGAGGGTTGGCAAAGGGTATTTCCAGTTGATGTGGATGTAAGAGATGAACGCTTGACTGGAGCATGAGACTCACAGAGGAGAGACCTGGCAGAACTCCATGATGGTGTAGGAGAGGCCCTCGGATGTCAGAGAACTTATATTTTCTTTGGTGGGCCACGGGGATCATAGGAAGGAGAGCCAGGAGGAGTTGTGCCTCCTGAAGATCCATGCAGCAGGGGTGTGGAGGGGGCAGAGCTGGAGATAGGGGGTCACATGGGGAGGCCAGCTTGCTTCCACAACATTTCCCTGTGTGGCTGGGTCCCAGAGCTTTGCCACTTTACTTTCCAGTCCTGTAGATTTCTATGGGGCTCTCACCACGCCCAATGGCAGGAATCTAACTAGAGTGCACATGGGCACCATTGTGACAGCCTGGCATTCATTTGAACATGCCATTTTCTCTCTTCCTTTTAAGTTTTAGAGTCAGTGCACTAGGGCTGTCCCAGAACCATGGTGTGTGGCTTTATGAAAATGATGTGAGCATACCTCATCTCTTCAGCCTCTCCACTAAAGGCAACAAAAGCTGTATCCTGTAAGAATTGACCCATATGTTATTATTTGGGGGCAACTAGGCCTTGTGTCCAGTGGAAGATAAAGAGCACTTTTATGCTCTTGGAGAAAGAGGTGGCTGATGTCATTTGTCATTAGAAGGAAGGAAAGAAGGAGGGATAGAGGGACGGAAGGAAGGAAAAACGGAAGAAAAACCTTTATTGGGCATCTGTTATGTCCTCAGATACTTTGCCATGTATATACATTTTTATTTTCTCACATGCCTCATCATAACTCTGCAAAGAAAGAATTTTACCCATATTAAGATAAAAAAACTGAGGCCTGTGTAAATTCATTTTTCTGACCCTCAAGCATATGTTTCCTGCTGCATGATCTCTCACCAGGTGCCTACATACCAGGAGAAGATGCCCAGCCAGTTTAGAGAATGTGGTCCCAACTCAAGGCTGGCTCAGCTTTTCTGCCCTGTTCTATTTACTTTGATCTTAATCAAGGTTCCTGGAAATATTACTGAAGGGTGATAGACTTTAGGTAAACCTAAACCCATCTCCAGCTCTGCCCCCTCTGCAGCCCTGCCACATGGATCTTTGGGAGGCACAACTCCTCCTAGCTCTCCTTCCTGTGATCACTGTTGTCCACCAAAATTCCCAGGTATGGTCCCAGACAGCACTGGTCTTGGGCATGGTCACCCTCACCATGATTGCCCATCCTCCCACTTAGCAAGCCTGCTTCCTTCATGTAGTGTCCCACTGACAGTGGTCTACAGCTTGGAGAGGCACGGTAATCGCTTATTTGCTCAATCTCAGGCCTCCCTCTCCAGAGAAACCTTTGCCTCTAACTTGCAGCCCACAGAGTGCTGAAGAGGGCCCAGGGACACCACTCTCCACTCTCAGGAGCTTGCAATGTATCTGTCAAATGCAAGTGGCAGAACTCTAAAATGTCCTTGAATGGGCAGAGGTGCCCCATTACCAGTGCTCAATAACACGGAGGAGGAATTCAGGTGGCCTCTGCTTGGAAGAGGATCCTAGAGGCTGTTGTTTGTCTCCTGTGTGATATTTGCTTTTTCACTACTTTCAGATTCCAAGTTTTTCTCACAGTTATTTTCTCCCCCTTTGCCTGAGATAGAATTGTTCTTGAATATTCTCTCTACCAGTGCCCTGGAACTCCACCCTTTTCCCATGGTTGTCTTCCCCTTTTCCCCTAAAGCCTCACAACACCTACCCCACCCACCCTGCATTTCCAAACACAGGGATTAGGGGAAGATTCCCACCACTCCAAGCCTTCAGTAAGGTTCAAGTCATCCCCCCACCCCTCCCTGGCAGACGTATGTGTGTGTGTGTGTGTGTGTGTGTGTGTGTGTGTGTATGTACAGGTTTGGTGAGGCTGAACAGGAGGTCTACTGGGGGGGGGTGTGGAAGGTTCTGGTGCTAATTGAGGCCATGCATTTTGTACTTGGGTGCCGGCTGGCGAGGCAGATTTAGAGGACTATCGGGAATCTCAGATTAAATACCATTAAAGCCAACTTCTCATACCCCTGCTGTTCAGCGCGCACGTGGGGAGAGTGGGGATCGGATGTTCAGGATTCTTGTTTGGGAAAACCATATGGAAAAACCACACAGCAGTTAAGTCTATAATCAGGGCTTACAGCATGTGGTCCGTTGGGTGCCAGGAGTGGTGCTTCTCCCCACTCCAGAAGGTCCATGGAATTTGTTCTTTGATGAGGAAACTGAGCCCGAGACAGGAAGTCTTGTTTCCACGGGAAGAGAACGAGACCATTTCCTCCCATAGTACCACAAGGTATAGTTCCCAAAATGATTTTTCCATAGTTGTTACAGTTATTCTCAAAATATTTTCTTGTTTTCACTGATCCTTTTAACACTTCTTCTGGAAGGAGGTAGAGAGTCTTCTGTTGCCCTTTCCAGCAGGACAAGAGGCAACCTCATACACAGGGGGATTGTGACCTGGCTGCCATGAGCAGGGTTGGCAGTAGGGCTGCGTATGGGGCATCAGTCTGTGTTA